ACCCCTCTGGCTGCGCCATAAAAATCTCCTCCTCAAGGATGCCGTTAAGGAATGCCGTTACGATGTCCATTTGCTTTACTACCCATCCTTTGATGGCGGCTCCCGCGAATAGGGTTCGCAGCGTCGTCGGCTTCACCACAGGGGCAAACAGCTCCTTGAAGTCCACCTTCTCCTTCTGCTGGTACCCCTTGGCTACAAGCCTAGACTTGTAGCGCTCGATCTTGCCGTCGGCATCCGACTTGATTTTGAAGAGCCACTTGGACGTTATCGCCGTACGCCCCTCCGGTAGCTCCACCAATTCAAACGTGTCATTCTCCTCGATGCTCTTCAGCTCACTCTCCATGGCCTTCTTCCACTCCTCAGCATCACTACTCTCCAAAGCCTCCTTGAGAGTTGCTGGTTCTCCCGGCATCTCCACCGGAGAGAAGAACGCGAAGGTACACTCCTCGTAGTCACTCTCCTCGTCGTCTCCGACCATCATTGCCGCTCCGGCCAGGGCTGTCTTGCCCTGCTTTCCCGGAGCATCATAGGTCAGCCTATTAGGGGGTTGAACTCTCCTCTTCCCCCTTCCTTCCTCCTCAGCTGCAGGGACTTGAAGGCCTTGGCGTTGCTGCGGTGTGGCTCGAATCCGTGGAGCACTCGTAGTACGGGAAGGAAGTGACGGTGCACGCTCGCTCACTTGCTGCACCTCCTCCTCTTCTTCCTCTGCATCATTGGCCTCCTCTCCCCCATTCACAAGGGAGGATTGCCTTGTGGTTGTGCTGCCGCTGCTCAGCTCCAAAGGCAGCTCCACATGCTCCAAACCGGAACTCTTCACCTCCCCAAACCGCACGCCTATCTTCGCCTCATTCTCCGCCTTCCAATCCTTGTACATGAAGTTCTCCATGAACTTGCAGTCCCTGCTCACCAAGAACTTCTTGGTGAATGGGTCCCAAAGAAGCCATCCCTTGCTGTTTTGAGCCATGCCCAAGTGCACGGCCCACACCGCCTTGGCACCAAGCTTGTTGTGCCGAAGATGCTTAGGCACGAGCGCCATGCACATGCACCCGAACACCCGAAGCATATCCACCTTTGGCTTCCTTCCTAGCCACTCCACATAGGGCACCCATTTGTCTGCTCCCACATGAGTCAAGGCTCTGTTCTTGGCCACACACGCGCTCCGCACCGCATCAGGCCAGAAATAGTCGGGTAGCCCGGCTTCAATGAGCAACCCGCGTGCCGCCTCCGTGATTGTGCGGTTCGCTCGCTCGGCGATGCCGTTCATTGCAGGGGAGTATGGCATGGTGAGGGAGTGCCGAATACCATTCTTCTTCAGCCACAACCCAAACTCCTTGCTCAGGAACTCTCCCCCTCGATCGGTGCGGATTGACTTGACTAGACGGTCTTGTTGCCACTCCACCATCGGGAACCAATCCGTCTTCAACGTTTCAGCCACGTCGCTCTTCTTGGCCAGCACGTACACCCAAGTCATGCGGGTGTAGACGTCGACAATGGTGAGAAAATACTCAGCTCCAGCAGCTCCAAGCTTCAGGGGGCCCACCACGTCCATCACCACCTCATCAAGCGGTGCCTTTGCCGTTGCCTCCGAACTAGGGAACGGAAACCGGGTGAACTTGGCTTGAATGCACGTCGGGCAGCCAAGCACCTCATCGGGCTCCCCCTTCACACGTATGCCAGCAACCATCTCATTCTTCACTAGCTGCTGCAAGATGGGCAGGGCCACATGCCCCATGCGCCGATGCAAGGTGAGTCAATCACACTCCCCCGTAGCCGAAGTTGGATTGGAGAATGCCGCGCTCGCAATAGCGCCCCACATACTCTCTCCGTAGTCCTCCTCCGCTGCTGCCTCTGGGTTCTCCTCACCCTTTTGCTGCTGCACCACTCTCCTTAGGTTCACTGAACTTGCTGGTCCCTCCAGGTTTGCTCTTCTTGAGCTCATTCTCCTTAGCGCGACCGTTCGCGCCATCGTCGCTACCGACCGCTCCATCCTTGGTGCTGATGCTTGCTGCCACTTGCCTCTCCTTAGGCATAGGGACCACTGGGATCTGCCACATCTCGTTGTAGACATCCCTGTCCTCATGAAGGTCCCAAAGAATTCGATCGCCAAGCCTTGCGGTGTAGGTCTTGGCTCCCTTCGAGTTCGTGTCCATGCCGGCCTTTGCCAACCGCCGCACGGAAATCAGGTTTGCAGCAAGGCTGGGCACCCAAAGCACGTTCTTGAGGCCCACCATCTTCCCATCAGCACCCTTGAACATGGCCTTGCCCATGCCTTTCACCTCTGCTCGCTGCCCCAAAGCCGATGTGACATGCTTCACCGGTGACGGCTCGAGTTCGGTGAGCAAGTCCGGGCGAGGTGTCATGCTATAGGTAGCGCCACTATCAATCACCCAATAGTCCAGGGGGTGTAGGGTCACCTTCCCCACAGCTGCTGGCTCCTCAAAGCCTTCATCCTTCTCTGGACCAGCCGGTACTTGCGTCGACACGAAGTAGAATAGACCCGGGTATCGATCGTCGCTCGGGTCCTTGTCGTTGTCTCCGCTCTTCATGTTTGCAGCTCCGCCACCGCGACCGCCACGGCCTCCACGGCCTCGTCCTCTCCCTCCTCCTGCTCCTCTACCCTCTTGGCCTTGAGCAGGGGTCCAACCATCAGGGAGTTTGTAGCAGTCGCGCCACATGTGTCCGCTCTTGTGGCAATAGTGACACTCGCCGTCGAATCGGCCGCGACCGCGTCCGTAGCTCTTGTCGTCGCTGCCGTAACCGCCACTCCTGCGGCCTCCGCCGAAGTTGCAGCCACCAAACCTTCCTCCCCCTCGTCCTCTGCCTCTTCCTCGACCATATCCACGGCCGATGCTCGCTGCCCCAGCGCCATCCGCACTCGCCAACTCACGGCGGCGGAAATCCTCTTGAAGGATAGCTCGCTTCACGTCTTCAAGCGAGAGGCGGGGCAAGTCGCGATTAAGGTTGATGATGAGCGAGGACCATGACTCTGGGAGTAAGGCCAGCAACTTGGTCTTCTTTTGGAGCTCACTGTAGTTCAAATCAGCTCCCTCAAGCCGCGTCAACAAGTCGAAGAATTTCTGCACCCCTTCTTCAACCGCTTCGTCTTCTTCAATTCGTAGTGCCGCCATTTGCCGTTCCAACACCACCGCTACCGCCGCTGTTGCAGGAGCGTGTACACCCTTGAGAGCAGCCCATGCCTTTGGTCCCTTCTCTGGTTCACGCTGGAATGGTTTGATGTGACGGATCTGGCTGCTCCCCAACGCTTGCCCAAGTAGGAGATAGCCTTGTGCGCTCTTCCGCACCCACGGGCTCTTCTCCGGGTCGTTCTCGGGGCGCTTCTCCGTTCCTTCCATCACCTCCAGCAGGTCATAGTGGTCAAAGATGTTCTCCATCTTGAAGGACCATTCAGCAAAGTTGTCACCGTTGAACTTGTCAAGCCCAAACACCCTAGGCTCATCCCTAGGTGGGCCAAGACTTGGTTGCATGGGCGCCATGGCTGAATCACGGGGTTGGCCTTGAGCTTGAGCTTATCCACTGCCACCAGCACCTCTGCCACCCCTTTCCTCAGGTCCAGACATTGTCGAAACTGCTCCAAGGGCTCTGATACCACTTGTTATAGTCACAATAGGCTTGAATGTGCCTAAAACGAAAGATAGAGAGCACAGACGGATTTCTGCACAGCGGCTTCAAACCTTGATAGCGTTCTGCTCACAGCTGCAAATGACTTGATTCAAATTGGATCTGGAGCGTCTTCACGTCGTCTACAATTAGCAATTTAGATTGCACGATTTGATAAAGAATTGACGACACAGCGTCGGTTTGAACGAACGGTACTATGGCAGCCACTATAGTCTTAGAACACAAGATAGGAAGAGTTACGAGTTGGGAATGACTCCCAGCTCCTACAAACCCCAAGAGCCGAGGTACAGTGATGTGGAACAGTGCCACACTGTCCCCAACCACGAAGGGTCTCGAAACTACCCTTCACTAGGGCCTACACCAAGTGAAATGTTACACTACACAAAGTAATGTAACTATCTTCAATATCTTGAGGTGTACCCTTTTGGCGAGCTTCGAAATCACTTGAGGCTTGACACCAAGGCTCGGGCTCTTCATCACAAACTCATCCTTGAGTTCTTGATGGGTCTGCTGCACACACCTGCGACACGCCGAACGTTCGACACAGGACAAAATAGAAACCGCGCACGACAAAATAGAAACCGCGCGCGAGACACAAACGACCGCGTAACACGCGTCTAGCGATAACTCGCTATTGACTCGACACACACACTCGACATCATGACTCAAACATTCACACACAATTATAAGCATGAAATATAAATTATCCCATGCCCTCATACCATTCCATACACACAGACATTCACGCACACGGACAACAAGCCGAGTGCAAACCGTAGGGTTGCACCAACATGAATGGTATGTACGAAGGCTGGAATGTAGGACTGGCCGAAATTCCAGACTTACAATGCAGCTCCAAACATTTAGTGCGCCTCAGAAGGGTTTTAAGGAGCATTAGAAGCTTTCTAAGGCGCCTCAAAAGGCAGTTATGGAACAAGATGCAAATGAGTGTGGAGCGAATGCTGGGAGGGACACTCATGGAGGTGCCTGTGTGTGCATGCTCAGCGAGGAGTGGCATATGGAGCAGCATAGACGGCTCTAGGGTGCCAATTGCAGATGCGACCTGCAGGTGTGGCCTGCAGGTGTGGCCTGCAGGTTTGGCATGCAGGTGTGGCCTGCAGGTTTGGCATGCAGGTTTGGCATGCAGGTTTGGCCTGCAGGTTTGGCATGCAGGTTTGGCCTGCAGGTTTGGCCGGTTTGGCCTGTAGGTGTGTACTGGAAAGGCGCAGACAAAAGCAACAGCCAGGCGAGGCAATCAATGAAAGCCATGGGGTATATGATGGAACCAGCGGATAACAGGAGAAAAAGAGTGTCCAGCATGGTTGGGGACAGCAAGAGGCAGGAAGCATAGACAGGCTTTGTTAGGAAGATGAAACCGAGAGGCAGAAGGAGAGGAACTGGTAGGAAGGGCGGAAGGGTGAAAGGGGGGAACAGGGCAACGAAAGCGGGAAGAGAATGGAAGGGAGAGGAGAGGGTGATGCGAGGGAGAGCGAGATGAGGGGAAAAGGGTGGTGTGGAAGAAGGGTGGGAGGTTGAGAGCAGAGGGGGACCTCAAAGCCTGTGAGGCTGCCGACGTCAGTCTTGGGCACGAGGCGGCTGCACTTGATGCCGGGGTTGAGGCGGAAGAACTCGAGAGGGGAGAGCGGCGGGGAGGGCACGGAGCGGATCTGGTCGCACGTCTCCCCGGCCTGCACCAGATAGAACTGCGAGCACACCGGGATGAGCAGCGCCGCTGCACTCTCCGCCCGCCGCTCCACACACACCGCCTGGCTGGCCACCAGCTCCCCGCTGCCGGAGCAGTCCAGCCCGGGGTTGAGCGCCTGGAAGGCTGCTGCGCAGGGCTCGGTGGGATTTGGGCAGTCGTCGGAGTAGAGAGAGAAGGAGGAGGCTAGCGACTCGCATGTGTCACTCTGGGGGGATGAAAGGACGAGAGGGAAGGAAGGAAGATGAAGGAGGAGATGGGAACAAGGGGAAGGGCGGGAGGGGAACACGGGACGGGGAAGAGGAGAGCACGGACGGGAGGTTTGGGAGTAGGTAGGGACATTGGATGAATAGGGTCGTGTAGGAACGACGAAAGGCAAGTAGAAAGCGAGAAGGGGTTTGTGGGGTTATGGGATAAGTAGAGGGTTAAAAAGGGTTGGGAAATAGAGGGTTGCAAGTTGTGGTTGACATGGGTGGGACAAGGGAGGGAGGGAGGGAGGGAGGGAGGGAGGGAGGGCAGGAGGGAGGGAGGGAGGGAGGGAGGGAGGGAGGGAGGGAGGGAGGGAGGGAGGGAGGGAGGGAGGGCAGAAGGGAGGGAGGAAACGTACCGGGGACGTGGTGTAGTAGACGGAGCAGGGCGTGAGGTCGTCTGGCTGGACCACGTTCACCACCGTTCCGACAGCGAGAGGAGCACTGCAGCTCAGATCCTGGCGGGGAAAGGGGAAGGGAATCAGTGAGGGGAGGATGGATCGGACAGTGGAGGCGATGGCGTAGGGCAGGTGAGGTGGGTGGGTGGGTGGGTGGGTGGGTGTCAGAGTCACTAGGATCTGGTGTTGGAACTGGGCAAGCAGCAGTGCAGTGCACCCACCACACCCAGAGAGCCCATGGGCAGCGATGTGGGCGTGGGAGGAAGGGGACTCACGGGGTTCTGGTCTTGGAATTGAGCAAGAGTGAGGCCGCACACGGGGTGGATGTCTGCGCACGTGAGTCCTTTTGCCACCACCCTGTATTTGCTGCTGGATTCGCCTGCGCAGTATGGTGCAGCCGGTGCGGTGCGGTGCAAAGTGGTGCAGAATGGTGCAAATAGATGTGGACCGGTGGGAATGGGTGTCGTTGATGGTTTTTGTTGTGGGTGGGTGAGTGGGGAGTGATGGTAACGATGGGCGGATGAGAAGAGGCTTTATTGCAATGTGTCATATGGTGTCTAGTGGTTGGCTTGGTGGTAGCATAGCCTGAGTAACGAGGCTTCGCAATAGACATGAATGGTCAAGCTTGGAGACGGCATAGCGTGAATAAGAGCGGGGACAGGTGGATGTTGGACCGAGAGGTGTCTGGAGCACAAGAGGGGAGGGTTACTTGCATCACATGAGAAGGTTACCTGGAGCACAGGAGAAGGTGCCATCAACGGTGGTGCCCTGCCTGAAGCCCGGAGGGCAAACACACGAGTACGACCCCTTGCCATCATTCACACACGTGCCCACCGCACACGGATTCTGCACCGCCGCCCCGCACGCATCCTCTGGAGAACAAGGCGACAGATAGAAACCAGAAAGAAAGAAAAAACAACAACAACAACAACGAAGAAATTTGAGAATCAGCGACAGCCAGGACACAAAGGCTATGAGACGACGGTGGCTGAACAGTCAAGAAACACGGGGTGGTGCCGATACCGCTGATAGTTTCATAGAAGCCAAGACGGACTACCATTGTCAAGTGAGCAGCAGTGCAGTGCAGTGCACAAAAGCGGCTCTGTGCTTTGCCAAGCGACACACAGGACGGACATGCTCTGACGGAAGAGGCATGAGGGCCATGAGAAGGAGGTGTTAGGTGCATTGCCACCAAGGTGGACAGTCAACCAACTCAAACCTTCTTACCTTCTGGTTAACGGCGTGACCAAGGGAATGATAGATAGCAAAGGTAGCAGAGGTGGCAGAAAGTTGCTATCTATCTGTCCCTTGGTCAAGTGCACATCGATCAATAGTCAGGACTCAGCGCAATGGTGCATCGGCACAACTTGCACGTCAAGGTGCAACGGCATGTGAGACACGAGGGAAGCAGCACGTGAGACATGAGGAACAAGAGATAGGAGAAAGAGCGCTCAGTTCAAGCACACTTATTAGCGCTCACTGTAAGCAAAGGGGAGAGCGCTCACTGTAAGCAAAGGGGAGAGCGCTCACTGTAAGCACAGGGGAGAGCGCTCTCTGTAAGCACAGGTGCGCGAGTTGTCCGGTTGAAGCGCCTCGACGAATCGCGGGTCGCTGCAGTCGCAGTGGTTGCTGGCCCCATCAGGCGTGGGCGTGCACGTGAAGTTGCCACAGGGGTTGAAGAGCGGCCCAAACAGCCCACTGGTGGTGCCGTTGACGTTGCAGGGGTCCTTGGCAGCGCGCACCACCGGGTAGATCCCAGGCAGCGTGTTGATCCCACACACGCCGTCGCCCCCCTGGATGTCCATCCGCATGTGCCCGCCGTCGCCCCACTCCGGGCCCCATGAGTTGCGGATGATCCAGAAGGGCGGCGCCATGTGCGGGAAGGTGGGGTCTGAGCCGGTGAGGCGATAGCCCACCAGCAGCACCACGTGGTTCAGGTTGTACGTGAAGCACGAGGGGTCCGCGTACTTGGATAGCTGGGAGGAGAGACAAGGAGGTAAATTGAGAGGGGGGTTGCATACGGTTTATCTCCCTTGCCCAACCATGTGGCACCTCTTTTTGAGGAGACTAAAAAATATATCCCTTGCCCAACCATGTGGCACCCCATCCATCATGACCTAGCAAGGGAAGAGCACAGGCGTGTGCGTGTGTGCGCACATGCACACGCGAGAGTGCGTTGCCGCGTGCAGGCAGGCGGGCGTGCATGAGTGTGAGTGGACAACCCTGTCGTGACTGAGAGGAAGCGCTCTCCTCACTCCACGTGCTCCATGTGCACACATGCTCACCCCATCGTGGTGGAGGAAGGAGGGAGCGGTGGCATGAGTGTGAGTGGACCCACCCACCTTGTCATGAGAGAGAGAGCACCCACCTCGCTCCATGTGCACTCATGCTCACCCCATCGTGGTGGAGGAAGGAGGGAGCGGTGGCATGAGTGTGAGTGGACCCACCCACCTTGTCATGAGAGAGAGAGCACCCACCTCGCTCCATGTGCACTCATGCTCACCCCATCGTGGTGGAGGAAGGAGGGAGCGGTGGCATGAGTGTGAGTGGACCCACCCACCTTGTCATGAGAGAGAGAGCACCCACCTCGCTCCATGCGCACTCATGCTCACCCCATCGTAGTTGAGGAAGGAGGGGGCAGTGGCCTGCACATGCACCACCACGGGCTGTCGCTGCACGGCCAGCAGCAGCCCAAACCAGCCGTGGAACGCCGTGCGCTCAAACCCATTCACCCTGAACGCCCCCCCCGATGGCTTGCTCTGCCGTGGGGGCACGGGAGCAGAGGGGAGGGTAGGTGGGGCAGGGGAGGAGGGGCAGGGGAGGTGGATTGGGGGAGGAGGGGTAGGGGAGGTGGGGAAGGGGGGTTGGGGAAAGCACATGGAGGAGGAGCCAAGGGGAGCATGAGAAAGCAACGAGTGAGCATGAAATGGTGCTTATACACATCAGATTGTTTTTGTAGGGCAGAAAAACAGGAGAAGCCAAACGCACAACACCCCTCCGAACGAGAAAGAGAGGGAGAGAAAAAACAGAAGAAAGGGCAGAAGATACCACATCAGACCGACTTAGAAAATGAAGGGGGAGAAAACGACAAGCCAAGAATCGCAACGTACCAATGATCCAGAGCCCTGCCCTGCACCGCACGAGATGACTTTTAAGTCGACTCAAAAGTCACCTGAAGAGGAACGTACCAATGATCCGGAGCCCTGCCCTGCACCGCACGAGATCCCGAGAACCTTGGCAAGCTGCGCAAAGAACGGCAGGCCACAGAGCGGGCTCTGGCTTGACCTCTTCCCTACCCCGCGGTCCCATGCCCCCGCGCGCCGCCCACTCCACCCCCTCCTCCTCACCCGCTCCCCAGCCTTCCCATGCGCCATGAGCCCCACTGAGCTTAACGTATTCTTGCTCCCGCCCCCGCTGCTCACCACCGCCCCGGACCTGCCATCCAATGAGAGCCCCACATTGCTCTTGGCGTTGAGAGTGACGAGGTACTGGAAGGCCTGGGAGGGCGAGTTGCCCTGCGAGCATGAGGAGCCGAGGGCGTCGCGCAGCTGGGAGACGGAGAGGAGCGGCACGGCGGAGAGGTTGGAGAGAATGCCGTATGCCATTTCTATGCTGCCCACCACCGCGTACGCCCAGCAGTCACCTGAAGCGGCAAGAGAGGGAGGAAATGGGGGGGGAGGAGGGAAAGGAGGAGGGGAGTGTTGGTTGTGAGGTTGAAGCGATGAGAGAGGTTGAAAAGGATGCTGTAGGGCAGTTCTATGCCTACCATGACTGGTTACGTGCGGCAGTTGCCCTAGAGGGGGGTGGGGGGTGGAGGTTGAAAGGTTGACGAGATGAGAGAGGTTGAAGAGGACGCTGTAGGGAATTTCTATGGCTATCGTGACTAATTACGCCCAGCAGTTGCCCGAGAGAGGGGAAGGGGATGGGGGAAATGAGAAATGTAGGAAAGGACAAGCCACAACAACCAGAAATGAGACAGTACCTTCTCACCACCAGCAAACATCCCCACAGCCCCCTTACGCCTCTTTCATCCCAGAGCGCCACTCCCATCCCATCCCATCCCATCCCATCCCATCCCATCCCATCCCATCCCATTTCATCCCATCCCACCACACTCCATCCCCACAAGGAGCACGCCCTCACCGCAGGCGCCCTGGTTCTGGACGGGCCACGGCAGCCCCAGGTCGGCCCAGGAGAACGCCTGGCTCACAACCCATACCTCCTCCTTATCCCCTCCGCCTCCCCCTCCTACCCCTGATCCTCCTGCTACTCCTGCTCCCCCTGCCGCCTGCAGTGCTTGCACGCCCGCACTGGCATAACGAAAGAAAGGGTTGGCCCCCATTGGTGACAGTGACGCCTCACTCAACTGGAACCCGAACTGCTGCCCTGGAAGGGGGGGAGATTGGGGGTTCGGGAGAGGAGGGGAGGGAGGAGGCGGGTGAGGTAAGGTAGGGGGATGTGTACAATATGTGTGGGTCGGGTAGGGCGGAAGCTGGTGGGGTTAAGAGGGAGTGGAGGCGGTGAGAAGGGTTGAAGGGGAGTTTAGGGAAAGTATTGGAGGAGGCTTTCGGGGGAGGATTGGGCAAAGGGAGGGTGGTGGAAGGAAGAGAACCAAGGATCGAAAGGAAAGGTTGCCGAGTCAAGCCAATGCAAGCCACGCATAAATGCAAGAGTGGCTGATCATGCTGTGCTTGTGATACTCTAGAGGATTTATAGAAACGAATTCAAGTCAATCATACCTGTAAGAGGGGTTGGTTCTGGGAGGCCTGCACATGCAAGGGAAGATGGAAGGAGCGAGGGAGGTAGAGGGAGAGAGAGAAACAGAGGAACGCACAAAGAACAGACTTGAGGCGCGGGGAGGCGGAAAAGGCAAATACTGGACAAGCGAAGGAGACGTAACAAGTGATGGAACGTAACGCGTGCTTGTGATCTAGGGTAGTGTATTGTAGGGAATCGAGGTTCAGAGGGCTATTTTGAGCCATTCACGGTGGGAGAGAGCAATGGGTGGAGCGGACGACACAGAGGGAGGGGGTGGGCGGAAGGGGGCGGCAGGGGGTGGCAGGGGGCGGCAGGGGGTAGCAGGGACCTGCGGAGACGTTCCACGCGAGGATGGAGTGCTGCTGCGGGGAATCTGATGCAGAGGCAGTGAAGCCCATGTGAAACGACGCCCCCTGTGCGGTGGGCTTGAGATAGTGGCACAGAGACACTTGCACCGACAGCACTGCCTTGCTCGGTTTCGGGGACGCGCTGGCTGAGAGGAACACTTGCAGCGAGCCGCCGCCGCCGTTGCTGCTGCTGATGCTGCTGCTGCTGCTGCTGCTGCTGCTGGGGTCAAAGACGATCCAGGCATGCTTTGGCGTGCCGTCGTTGAGAGTCAAGGGCGCTTTGGCAGTTGCGATGGAAGAGGTTTTGCCGCTCACACTGAGTCCCACGTGGTTGCTGTCTGGGTCGTTGGTGCTCTTAGAAGTGTCAAACTCCACTGCAATGCTGCGCTCATCCATGCCTGCATACCCTAAGCTGCTGCCGCCGCCACTGCCGTCGCTGCTGCCACTGCTACCGCCTGTAGCAGCGTCACTGGCTGCAATCACAAATGCAAGCCCGTCCCCTGCTTCTGCTGCAGCGTTGGCAGTGGCTGGTTTGAGAATGGAGAAGGAGAAATAGACGGTGAAGGCGAACGGCCGGCCGCAGGCACCGGCTTTCAAGGCGAAGGAGAAGAGCGAGACGGGGAGTTGGAGAAAAGCTGCACCCCACGTGTTGGGCTGTGAGGCTGCTGTGAGTGTGACGGTGCCGTCGCTTGCCACTGCCGCTCTCCCCTTCACGGCTATCTGTGCTGCTGTTGGCTGCACGGTAACTGGGCCGCTCCCCGGGCCTGGCGGCGGGAGAAGGGGCGAAGACGGCAACAAGGGGAAGGAAAGGCACGGTAAAAGAAGTTGGTAGTTGAGCACAGAAAAGGTTTCGCTGCTACTACCACGTGCATGGCCACTGGGGCGCCGTCTCACCTTGGCTTGGGAGGCTGGAAATGGTGGTATGTGGGTACAGGAATAGGGGAGAGAACACAGGTGACAAGAGCTTCTGAACTGTCTAATTGCTTAAAAATGAGCCCACACCACCCTCCATTGACCCTCACCTCACTCTTCTCTGTCCTCCCCCTTCCCGCTCCCCCCCCCTCCTCTCCCTCCCCCTCCCGCTTCCTCTCCCCCCTACCTTCCCTTACCCCCCCACACTCACTTCCTTCAGCGACGCAGCTTCCAGGAAGCTCCCCGTTGACAAACCCAGACTCGCAGTCACACGTGGGCACTCTGCTAGGACCCTCCAGGTAGCACAAGCCATGCCCGCCACACGGGGGATCGGCAGCACTCACGCCACAGAAGGCAGCACAGAGTACCTCCGGCCGCTGCACCGCTGCATCCGCAGCAGAGGGCGTGGCAGGCGTGGGGCAGGAGAAGCCGTCAGGAGGGGTTTCAAGACAGTTGAAGCGGAAGGAGATGGAGCCTTGCGCACAGTTGGGTGGGGAGGAGAATCCTGAGGAGAAGTAGTTGTTGTCGAGATTGTAGACAGTGAGAGATGCTGGGATGGGCTCTAGTATGGGACCTGTCAGCTGGTTGTTCTTGAGGTTGCTGTGGGGGGATGGGGGGAAAAGGGAAGGGGAAGGTGGGGATTGGGGGAAGGGGAAGGTGGGGAAGGGGGATGGCCAATGAGGAGGCACCGGGGAGTGAGTCTGGCAAGAAAACACAAGGTGCACTGCACTGCACTGCACTGCACTGCACTGAACTGCATAGGGGCGTGAGGCCAGTGGGATGGACGCACAGGAGAGTGAGGCGGACAAGGCCGGTGTACTGAGTGGGGATGGTTCCATGCAGAAGGTTGTTGCTCAGGTCACTGCCGAGGGAAAGAGAGGAGAGAGCGAGAGGAGGGGTGAGACCAAAGAGGTCATTAGAGAGAGCCGGGGTGGGAGGGTTGGGTGGGATGGGAGGCTAGGAGAGGGGAGGGGGCATCAATGTGAAAGACAGTACAACATTCATGTGATGAGCTGTCGTTGCGGTATGGAACAAGGGGGAACACTGTAGGAAGGAGCAGTGGAAGCAGAAGTGGCAGCAGCAGTGGCAGCAGCAGCAGTGGAAGCAGCAGTGGCAGCGAGATACTCTCCTGGAAGGGAAGGCAAGTGGCTGGCGAGAAAAATCTTCCTCCGCCGTTGAATCCCGTTCAGATCACAGAGAGAATCTAGGCATGTGTTTGCTTGCTTCTAGCTACCCTTGGTTCATCTCGACTACCAAAGGCTTGTCGAGGCTCTTCTTTCTTAGCATGAACTAGCAATCGTTTGACCTTAGCTAGCCACCCTTGCTCTCAACCCAATCGGCACAGGTCAAGCTTTCATAAGTGAGTTACATCTAGCACAGATGTGTGTGCAGCTGCATGTATGTATGTACGTTGTTGCATGAGGTGCCGGATCACTCTGTGTCGGTTCACATATCTCACCCAGTGCGGATGACTCACATGGGTCAGCTGCGAGGGTCACTCACATGGGTCAGCAGGCGCATCACTCACATGGCTTCCAGTTGTAATAGTCCTCCGACAATCGTGGGCAGAGTGCCGCTGATCTGGTTGCAGCAGAGGTTGCTGCGGGGGTGCAGAGTGGAAGAGAGAGAGGGTGCAAACATGGGGGCGTAGTGCAGTGGGAAGGGAAACGGGAATGTGAGTAGGGTAGAGCCCAATGGGGCGAGGGGTTGCTGTGGGGACGGCGAGAATAAAATTCATACGGTGCTTGATAATTCTCAAAGTCACATAACTGAAACGCAGGGGACTGGGGAGAGCTGTGGGTGGAGAAAAATGAGATGGAGAAGTTATAAAAGGGATGGGATGTGGGAGGGCAAGGAAGCACAGGATGAGGAGATGGAGAGAAAGAGGGGAGAGGCAGTGCAGTGTGGAAAGAGATTGCTGGAGTGGGGAGGAGGAGGGGGGCCCGTGAGCACGAGGGAGTGAGAACGTGAAAAGGGGAGAAGGAGAGCAGAGGGGGAAGGAGAGCAGGTATATGGGGGGAAGACAAGGCGTGAGGTGAGGGTTGGTGGGGCACTGACAGCACTTGGAGGCTGGCGAGATTGGAGTACTCAGCGGGTATGGAGCCGGTAAACTCGTTGCCACTCAGATTGCTGCCGTGCACGAGGTGGTGGTCAGAGGGGACGGGGGAAGAGAAGATTAAAGGGAGGGAGGAGGCGAGGGGGGAAGGAAAGGTGGAAGGGAAGGGGCAATGGGGAAGGGAGAGGGGAAGGGAGGGAAGGTCAAACCGGAGTGGGGTTACAAGCCCTATCGCTCTCACTTGCCCTTGCTGTCCCCCATACTATTCAATGAAAGGGACTGTCTGACAGGCATGCGTCCCTACGGTTACATGCTACACGCAGAGCCCTCCGCTGTGCCCCTACTACTGGAGTCACAGAAGCAGGGAAAGGGAGGGTACAAGAGAGGGCAGTGGTGCAGTGCAGTGCACTCACAGGGCCTTGAGGTCTGTCATGCTGCTGATGCTGGTTGGAAGAGGGCCAGACAGGTCGTTGTGGCTCAGATCGCTGGGAGTGAAGGCAGAGAGGGGTGGGGTGGATGGGGTGGAGTAATAGGTGAAAGGGACGGACCGGAGGAGCAAATGGAACGTGGTGGGAGGGGTGGGAAGGGTTGGAGGGTGGGAGGTTGGTACTGTTCAGTGTGGCACCGCGGCATGGCACGGGCACATGTGGAGATAGAGCTGACAAGACACCGTCTGCTTGCACATGGCATTGCATGGCATGGCATGGCATCACATGGCTAAGGCAAGGGCACATGTGGGAGTGCGGATGGAAGCAGCAGAAAGTGGGCGTACAGGTTGGTGATTGCAGTCAAATCAGAGATTTGTTCAGGCACGGTCCCTGATAGCTGGTTGTAACTCAGGTCCCTGCCATGCACACGTACAGCGGGCAGGGAAGAGCGGGAGAAGGAAGAGGGGGTAAAGACAGAGGGGGTGGAGGGAGAGATGGGGAAGGAAGAGGGGGGGGAGGAAGAGGAGGGGAAGGGAGAGGAGGGAAAGGGAGAGCACGGTAAGGGAGAGAGGGGGAAGGGAGAGGGTGGGGAAGGAGAGGGGGGAAGCGAGAGGGTGGAAAGAAAAAGGGAGCAAAAGGGAGAGGGACACAAATTAAGAGCAAGAGCTAAAGGGCGGAAACACAAACGTGTCCCTGTGCATGGCATCACATGGCACGGATCGGCAAGAGCGTGAGTCCTTGGCACGGCAAGAGCGTGAGTCCTTGTACAACCTGTTGCAACGCAAGTTTTGTGATGCACATGACTTCTACAGGTCGCTTGCGTGGTTACTTGGCTGTTCATGTGTGGCCGGTTACAAACCATTCTGTGAATGTGTGGTGCAAGCGGTGGGGTGCAAGTGGTGGGGTGCAAGTGGTGGCGTGCATACAGCTTCTGCAGGTTGGGAATCTGTGCGATCGCTGCTGCTGGAATAAAGCCTGTGAAAGCATTGTTGGAGAGAGATCTGCAGAAAGCAGTGGAGAGACAGGGAGACAGAGAGACAGAGCAAAAGAGCAATGGAAAGATGGAGAAACAGAGAGACATAGAGACAAGGCGGAGAGAAGCGGCAACAGCGTGAGAGACAGCAGGGTGGTGCCATGGGGGGACGTGAGACGAGGCAAGATACATACAGATGGAATCATGTTTTATCGGTAAGAGACATGCTGCGAAGGATTATTTAGATGGGCAAGATATAGCCCACAGCAGAGCAAAGCATTGAGTGCCTTCCGCCATAGGTATCATAGGTACACACGAAAGGGAGGGTGCTACCAGGAGTGCGGTGAGGGGAGAGCATGTGCGAGAGAGCAATGCAGCAACGGGAGTGCAGCGAGAAGAGAGCATATGCGAGAGAGCAGTGCAGCAACGGGAGTGCGGTGAGGGGAGAGCATACAACTCATGAAGAGCAGTGAGGGCGCTGATGGTTGGAATGAGCGTGCCCGACAGACGGTTGAAGCCCAGGTTCCTGTTGGGTGGAACGTGTGTTTGCCACCGCCGTTTGAGAAGGTGGGGGGGAGGAGGAAGAGGTGGAGAAGAGGGGGCGGGGGGAAGGTGTGTGTGGGAAAAGGAGAGGAGGAAGGGTGGGTGGGGAGGGGGGTTGTTTGTTAGAGTTTATGAGGAGAGGACAGATGTACAGTGGACTTAACACATGAGGATTTGAATAGATGAGGACATGGCTAAGCGTAGAAGGGTGGAAAGGTCACAAGATGAGGGAAAGGTTGTGGGCTAACAGGCTGGTGAATTTGGTGAGGAGGGAGAGGGACGAAGGCATGGATCCAGACAGCTGGTTGCGGCTCATGTCCCTGTCGCATAGCATGGCATGGTTTGGTGTGGTGTGGTGTGGTGTGGTGTGGCATGCGATGTGATGGCATGGCAAGACACGGCACGGTTGTGAGTAATCAATTTGGTAATGGAGCGAGGAGAGAGTTACAAGAAGGTTCCAGGGTCCGATAAAGAGAATGCAAGCATTTCAAGACAAAATACAAGAGACTAAACGCACGAGGAAACAAACGAGGAGAAGCAAGTGCTTGCAATTTGACTGCAAGACAAGTGGTCCATGCACGGAAAGGCACTTGATTATAAACACACAGCACAGCAATGCTATACGGAACCCCCCACACACATAGCCATGGTCCACCCATCCCTCTCAGCTCTCATATGGCTCCACACACGCACTATCTGGTGAGGGGCAGCAGGGAACGTGGCAATAGCTTTAATGTGCCTCAAGCATCCAAAGGGGATTTAAGGAGGATGCAAGGAAGATGCGAAGGAGAATCAAAGAGGAATTAGAGAGGGATTTTTTTAAGAGCATCCCAAGAGGACCAAGAGGATTCAATGAGAATCGACACACACACTCACAGGCGAGGTGAGTTGGTGAGGGCAGCGATAAGCGGCTCTGGGATGGGGCCCGAGAGAATGTTGGACGACAGGCCCCTGCAAGAAGAGATGGGATGCGGTGTGGTGGTGAGGGGTGAGGTTGGTAGGGAGGGATGAGCATGGAAGGGAGATAGAAAATGCAGAGGGCTGAGTTGATATGAGATGCAGAGTAATGGGCTGGATGGGGTGTGGTGGAGCGAGATGCGATGCAACGTGATGCCATGGGATGGGATGGGATGGGATGGGATGGGATGGGATGGGATGGGATGGGACGGGACGGGATGGGATGGGATGAGATGGAATGGGATGGGATGGGATGGGATGACGGGATGGGATGGGATGGGATGGGATGGGATGGAACGGGATGGGATGGGATGGGATGGGATGGGATGGGATGGGATGAGATGGGATGATGGGATGGGATGGGATGGGATGGGATGGGATGGGATGGGATGGGATGGGATGGGATGGGATGGGATGAAGGGATGGGATGGGATGGGATGAAGGGATAGGATGGGATGGGATGGGATGTGATGAAGGGATGGGATGGGATGAAGGGATAGGATGGGATGAAGCCACACACGCTACTGCGTGGGTACTGACAGGGTGGTGAGGTGGGAGAGGCGGCTGTAGCCCAAAGGCAGCGATCCCGAGAAGATGTTGCTGCTGAGGTCGCTGGGGATTGGGACGAAGGAGATAGAGGGGAGGGGAGGGAGAGGGAGTAAAGTGGGAGACGGGGGAGAGGAAGGAAAGCGTGAGTCCATTAGGAGCCGACTGCAGAAGGAGAGTGAAGTGGGATTAGATGGGGGAAGAGGCACAGGACAATAGGACGAGACACAAGTGAGGGAATATTACTAGTGCAAAGCAGAACCATAAGAGCAGGGGGAAGAATGCAAGTTGTGAATTTTGAACGCTCAAGGAAAGGCGAGGGATGACTTAAAACCTTGATATACCACTACACTTCAGACAAAGCATGGGAGGGGGGCTGATGGGCGGGAGGGGGACTGACAGGTGAGAGAGAGAGGTGGCACGACTAAGGATGGAGGGCAGTGGCCCTGATAACTGGTTGTTACTCGAATCCCTGCACGTGCAAAGGAGGAGGGAGGGGAGTAAGGAAAAGGGGCAGGAGTATACACGGGCAGAGGCAGAGTAAATTATTAGCCATGATATGTGGAAACTGAGAAGGCTGGAGTGGGCCAGATCGCAGAGGACAAGTGAGACGAGGCAGGGGAAAAAGGGAGCATCACATTGACTTTCCATTATTTGAGAGGAAGCAAGCAATATGATGCAATAATTCCACGGTGCTTGCTTGTGTGCGTGCTTTCTTGCTCGCACTCACAGTTTCTTAAGGTCTGTGAGCTGGGAGAGAGTGGGAGGAATATCGCCGTATAACTGGTTGGATCCGAGCACTCTGGTTGGGGTTGGGGCAGCAGCATGTGGCTCTGGTTGGGCCTACTTTTGAGAATTCTCAAAAGTAAACTCAACATAGCTGTGAGCTGGGAGAGAGTGGGAGGAATATCGCCGTATAACTGGTGGGATCCGAGCACTCTGGTGGGGGTTATGGCAGCGACATGTGACTCTGGTTTGGTCAGCACATCGAAAGCTTAATTAGTGGTGTTGCGGTGATGTTTGGCATGGGGGGATGTGTGGCATGTTACCATGCAATTCATGGCATGGCATGAAATGCACGGCATGGCATGGCATAACATGACATGGCATGGCATGGCATAGCATGTCTCACAGATTTTGCAGGCGATGGAGGCCAAATATGGAAGCAGGAATGGAGCCATCGAGAGAGTTGCCCGACAAATCACTGCAGGGCGGGAGGAAGGGAGGGAGACAGGAGGGAGGGAGGGAGGGAAGGGAGGGAGGGACCAGAGATAACATGGGGCAATGGCATAATCAAGAGTTTCTAGGAAACCAGCACTGTGGATTTGTGGAAGGGGGGGAAAGAGGGAACGAGGGGGCAGAGAATAACAGGAGGGAAAGATGGAAGGAAGGGGGGAGGAGAAGGAGGGGTGGGGGAAGTGGGTTTCATATGGAGAGCTATTCTCGCTGAATAAGGATCTTCTTACATGGTGACTGCACCCGCAACATTGGAAATGTCATCAGGGATAGGACCCGTGAGATAATTCCTTGCCAGGTTGCTGGAACAAACGGGCCACAGGGGGGGGAGGGGTTGGAGGGAAGGGCGGGAGGGAAGGGCGGGAGGGAAGGATGAGGGTGGGTGTGTGATGGAGCAATAGTGGAAGAGAGAGCAAAGGAGCAAGCAAGGGCGAGGGCACATTATAAAGAGTCGAGATTGTGCAAGAAAGGGTGCAGAAGAGTAGTTCAACTCCAGGTCGAGACTGCAAAAGAGTAAAGAGGGTTCTTACAGGTACGTGAATGCAGTGTTGAAGTCGCTAGTCGACTCTTGAGTTGACTCAAGAGTAGTTCAATCCAAATTGGAGTAAAGAGGGTTCTCACAGGTACGTGAATGCAGTGTTGAAGTCGCTTGGAATCGGTACTGATCCTGTCAAGCCAGCATCACTTAATTCCCTGCGCAGGCACATGCATTCACATGCCCATTCACATGCACATGCACATACATACACACACACACGCAGGCACTACAGTTTTTGTCAGCGCATCTGGAGACTACAGGGCGGAGAGGGTTGGGAAGGTACCCTAAAGCTTCTGTCACTGGCCATTAGGTAAGGAGTGGGGAGCGGAAACGATTCAAATTTCTCAGCATACTTGGTTTTATCCTTTACAGCCGCGGCAGGGGCAGCCCTTCAGAGGGCGCAGGCACGTGTGTGATCCTTCTGCGTGCAACTTCTATGATGGTCCTGAGAGTGGTACTGGCTTGCTTACAGTGACTTGATCAGCGGGAGGTTGATTAGGGAATCGGGAATGGAGCCAGAAAACCAGTTGTTGGTAAGATCGCTGTGATGGGGACGAGATATGGGTGAGAGACATACGGTTTTTTTGTCGAATTAATAGAGGGCAGGTATGGAGCGGCTTGGGTACAAGGGATCAAAGGGACGGGGTGAAGGAAGGCTGTTGGAGTGAGGCGGGCTGGGTATACAGGGTGGTGGCTGGGTCACATCCTATATTTGCACAGCCAGATTTGAGATGCTTCAACACTGGTTTTGCAATGCAATGGAATCCTGAAGATGCCATCCCAACACGCAGGTATTGCAATGATGTTTAATCAACGGCAAGTTAAATCGGCCTAACTGACAGTAGGAGGAGCAGGGCGTGACAGGAAGTGAAGAGGAAGGCCTTACAACAAGAGCAGAGGAAGGCCTCACAGCAAGAGCAGAGGAAGGCCTCACAACAAGAGCAGAGGAAGGCCTCACAACAAGAGCAGAGGAAGGCCTCACAGTTCCTCAAGGTTAACAAGTTCAAGGAGGAAGTCAGGAGGGGAGTCCGTCAAACTGGCCTTTGACAAGCCACTGCCAGCGGTCAGGAAGCAGAATGGGGCGGAGGGGGAGAGGCAGGGGGAACGGGTTGAGAGAGGTGGGATGGATGGACAATGGATGAAAGTAAGGGAGAGGACAGACGTAGCATGCGCAGCAGCATGTTGTGTATGAGAGTTGAAACGGTTGTGGGATGCAAGGCATACACTCGCGAAGCACGAGGAGGAGCGAGCAGAAAGTTAACACAACAGAGTTGAGAAGTGCGGTGCAATGAGACAGTCAGAGGCGGGGAGAGAGAGGCGGTGAGAGAGAGGACACCCAGAGCATGCATGCTGGCAGGCAGCGGCACGGCATGCTGAATACAGGTGGCATGCAGCCCAATGGCGTGCAGCCCAATGGCGTGCAGCCCAATGGCATGCAGCCCAATGGCGTGCAGCCGAATGGCATGCAGCCCAATGGCGTGCAGCCCAATGGCATGCAGCCCAATGGCGTGCAGCCCAATGGCATGCAGCCCAATGGCGTGCAGCCCAATGGCGTGCAGCCCAATGGCGTGCAGCCCAATGGCGTGCAGCCCAATGGCGTGCAGCCCAATGGCGTGCAGCCCAATGGCGTGCAGCCCAATGGCGTGCAGCCCAATGGCGTGCAGCCCAATGGCGTGCAGCCCAATGGCGTGCAGCCCAATGGCGTGCAGCCCAATGGCGTGCAGCCCAATGGCGTGCAGCCCAATGGCGTGCAGCCCAATGGCGTGCAGCCCAATGGCGTGCAGCCCAATTGTGTGCAGCCCAATGGCGTGCAGCCCAATGGCATGCGGCACCATGAGGTTCAGTGTGGTGCAACGAAGTGACAAAGTCAAAAGGTGCTCGTAGCGATGAGTGAAGGCGCTCACAGGTAGGAGAGGGATGTAAGAGCAGATATTGGGTCCAAGTAGATTGCGTCAATGAGGTTTCCTCCTAGGTTGCTGATTGGAAGAGTGGAAGAAAACTGTGGTTGAGTACAGCGAATATGATGAGCCGCAGAGTTTTGTGCATGAACATGGGAATGAGCAGCCACTATACACAGAGCATGGAGAGGCACAGTGAAGACGAAGGGGAAGGGCAAGGGGAAGGGGAAGGGGGAGGGCAAGGGGAATGGGAATGGGAAGGGGAAGGGGAAAGGGGAAGGGGAAGGGGAAGGGGAAGGGAAACTGGAAGGAGAAGGGAAATGGAAAGGGGAAGGGAAACGGGAACGGAAAGGGAAACGGGAAGCGGAAGGGCAAGGAGAAGGGGAAGGGTAAGGGGAAGTTGAAGGGGAAGGGGATCAATATATGCATGAAGAGAGAATGGTGCTGGCAGATGGTCAAGACCATGAGACAACGAGTCGAGACAATACATGGAGCCAAACATCCCAAGAGTCATGGGAATCGGGGGAAAGGAAGTATCGAGGGGAGAGAGGGAGGAGAAAAGGAGGAGAAACTAAGGAGGCAGAGAGGAGGGAGAGAGGAAGGGGAGTATCAGAGGATGTGATAGGAGGAGAGGGGAGGGAGAGAGGCAGAAGGGAGGAGGGAGAAAAGAGGGAGAGAGGAAGGAAAGATGAGGGAGAGAGGAGTGGGAGAGGAGGAAGAAAGCTTGAAAGCACTGGCAGCACTGACAGGTATCGAAGGTTAGCCATGTTGTCCAAACTTGGGAGTGGCCCTACTATCTCATTGTCGTAAATATCCCTGCCATGCCATGCCATTCCATGCCATACCACGCCATGCAAAGCCATGGCATGCCACGCCATGCCATGTCATGCCGTATCATGCCTTCCCATGCCATTCCATGACATGCCATTGACGCATGACATGTCTTGCCATGCGACACGATGCAATACAGTATAAAGCCATGCGTACATGGGCATGCCAGAAGCAGGGAAAGGCACAGGAGGGGGACGAGGGAAAGGAAGATTTGGTGCCAGAATGTGGGCAGATGAGGAGTGCAGTCTATACAAATGTGGTTGAGAGGGATGCATGGTGAGCGGGTTGCATGGTAAGATGGATGCATGGTGAGAGGATGCATGGTGAGAGGATGCATGGTGAGCAGGATGCAGTGTGAAAGGGATTATAGAGGCAACACGCACCCAAGTGACGGCACTTCGACACATGAGCACCCCTAGAGCCCATGCCATGGCATGCCATGCCCTCCCATGCCAAGCCATGCCATGGCAGGCCCTCCCATGACATGCCATGCCATGCCATGCCCATCCCATGCCAATGCCCTGCCATACCCTGCCATTCCATAACATGCTCTGCCTTGCCCTGCCATGCCATGCCATGCAGGACCAACCCTTTTTGGAGATGGAGGCACTAAGGGAGAGGCGAGTGAGGCGCTTACAGCAGCGAAAGGCTAGTGAGAGCACTGATCTCTCCAGGAAGCGTGCCTTGGATCCCACTCGCGGATGCACGACTGAAGAAAGAGGCAAGTTAGGGGCAGGCGAGGAGGGATTGAGAGGGAAGTGCGTGAGAAAGGAGGTGAGGGGGAACGTAAGGGTGGGGGGGGGGGGGGGGAGGAGAGACAGGAGTGTGTTAAAGGGTCACGGATTGGTGGTGCGGATCAGGATTTGAGCCGGATGGAATAATGGAAGGAGTGTGGTCATTGCTGCTGGAGATTGCATTCTGGCGCTGAGGCTTATGAAGACTATAAGAAGCGGATACCTGATTTGATTCTTCGGAAGAGAAGACTGTCGTGGTTCATATATGCAAGATGGAAACAGGACGGACCATGCAAGCACGGCACAAGACTCAAAGCATGCTGGGTTTATGGTGCAAGGGTGCTCGTGTTGGTGCTGGTTGGTGCTGGTGCTGGTGCTGGTATTGGTGCTGGTGCTGGTGTGCATTTTGAACTGAACAGTGATGCTTCACTGAGTGCTTTGGTTAACTTACAGCACTCGCAATTCGTTGAGGTCTTTTATTCTTGCTGTTAGGGTTCCTGAGAAATCGTTATTGGAAATGTCTCTGGTGGGAAGAGAGAGACGAGGAGACGAAAGGATGGGAGAACATTGCACAAAGCATCTCGAATCATCTAAAAACACAACACAGAACATAAGATAAGGGAGCGAGAATGGAGGGAGGGGCAGAGACAGAGACTAAATGGGGAAGGAGAGGGAGGGAAAAGAAGGGGAGAAAGGGGGGATGTGGGAGAGGAAGGGAAGTGCGGAGGGTGAGAGGAGGGCGGGGAGAGGGGGGAGGGGGGGATTGACATGGGTGGGTTGGAAATTAGGTGCAATTGTCCATGAACTTATACAAAAGCTTGTGATCAACAGTAAGCAACAGAGCATAACAGAGCAGTGCAGCGCAGCGCAGCACAGCACATTGCAGTACTTCACAGCACAGCACGGAACAGCACTGCTGCATACTGGGACAGCAGTGAGGGGGTGTAGCAGAGACCGATACGCCCCACGCACTAGCTAAGTACATACATCAGTTGAGACCAGCCGCACTGAACCCCCCGTTACCCCACTGCTCCCTCCCTCCTTCCCCCTTCCCAGCGTGAGCCCATAACGGACGCACAGCACAGCATGCAGTGGGAGTGGCATTTGAGAGGAGTGAGAGGAGGAGAAGACGCACATCAGAGCACGCGGTGAGAGTCGTATTTGAGAGGAGTGAGAGGAAGGGGAGACGCACAGCGCAGTGAGAGTGGTGAAGACGACTGTTGCGTTGTCCACGTCGCCATACAGCTGGTTGTTCGCCAGTGATCTGTGGTAAACACACAAGCAAAGGAAACCACGGACGAGAGGGGGCCGGCTGGGTTTTTTAGGCGCCTCAAAAGCACGTCGCCATACAGCTGGTTGTTCGCCTGTGATATGTGGCACGCGCACAAACAAAACCATGGGAGCAGAGGGGGGGGAGGGGGGAGGGGATTTTTTAGGCGGCTCAAAAGCACGTCGCCGGATAGATGGTTGCTTGCCAGTGATCTGTGGCACGCAAACAGGTAAAATTACGGGAGAGGGGGGGCGGGGGGAGGAGGGAGGAAGGTGAAGAAGGAGAGTGAGCTAGATGTGAATGAAGAGAGGGAGACAGGATGGACGGACATGGATGGATGGCAGCATGTCAGCATCCCATGACAAATGCGTTTTTGGTGCAGTGGTGTGGGGCTCAGGCAAGGAGGGAGACCATGGATGGGGGCAGGCAGGTGGGCGGGGGGGGGACGTGAAGACGAGGAGAAGCAGGTGGGGGTGTGAAGGACGGAGAGGGACAGGGGGAATGATGTGGTGGGAGTGAGGGAGAACGGCGCGGGAGGGAGGGGGGAGAGGGTGGAGACAGCAGAGATTGGTTAAGAGATAGGGTGAGGCGGGCAAGAAAGATCATGAGAGGACGGAGAAGAGGAGAGGAAGAGCGAGGGGAGGAGAGGGAGAGATATTGAGATAGCCCAACCCTAGGCCCCGGCAGGCCCACTGCAGCTACGAAAAAGTGTCTGAACGTGTTGTGGAATTGATTTGATAAATCGTTAGAGAGAGAAAAATGATATCACAAAATGGGTAGTTGGAGGGGAGACTCGGAAACAGGCAGGCAGCTCTTCCAAAGCCCCTCTGCAGGGAATGCTCTGCCTCTCTGCTCTGCAATGTCCCCGCACACATGGAAGGAGCAACTCACACTTCCAGGAGGCTTGTCATTTCAGACAGGGCATCAGGAAGAGACCCAGAAAGGGAATTGCCGTTGAGATACCTGCATTGTCGCACGGACAAGTCATGGAGAGAGCAGCATGAACGGAGGCAAGTGAAGGTGTGGCTACATACGGGCTCGGTAGGTGGGAGTGCAACCCAAAAGCGTGGTGACTTTTGAGTCAACTCAAAAGCCATCTCGGTAGGTGTGAATGCAACCCAGAAGCGTGGTGACTTTTGAGTCGACTCAAAAGCCATCTCGGTAGGTGTGAATGCAACCCAGAAGCGTGGGCGTTAAAGGATGGGAAGAGAGGTCGATGGAGGAAAGAGGGGGATGGGGATGGTCCGAGTCTTGGGCATGTTGCAGTGGGGGTGCTGGGAGTGCAGTGGGGGTGATGGGATTGCAGTGGGGGTGATGGGAGTGCAGTGCGGGTGATGGGAGTGCAGTGGGGGTGATGGGAGTGCAGTGGGGGTGATGGGAGCGCAGTGGGGGTGATGGGAGCTCAGTGGGGGTGATGGGAGCGCAGTGGGGGTAGCTTACATGTACTGCAACGTTTTGATGTTTGATAACTCCCAAGGAATGGTCCCTGAGAACTGGTTGTTGGAGAGGTCTCTGATGTTGACAAAGGGGACAACAGTGGGTGGGGGGATGGACGGGAGGGAGGGAGGGAGGGAGAAGGGAGGGAGGGAGGGAGGGAGGGAGGGAGGGAGGGAGGGAGGGAGGGAGGGAGGGAGGGAGGGAAGGAGGGAAGGAGGGAGGGAGGGAGAGCGATAAGAGTCCGCCTTTGAGTCATGACACAGCAACAGATCTGCTTGGGTCTCGAGTGGAAAGGGTTGCCACGGTTCAGGAGCCAGAATAACAGTTCATGGAGCTTAGAAAGGTATTTTATGTTGAGAAAGATGGGGTGGGGTGGAACTTTGAGTCTACTAAAGATCAAAGCGCAGGTTTCTAGGCTCTGGAGAGGCGTCTCGTGCTGACAAGGGGGACAGCAACAGGGGATGAGTGGGTGAGGGGGGCGGGGCAGATAGAAGCAAGGGGCAGGGAATGGCAAAGAAGGAGAAATGTGTAGTAAGGTGCAGTAGATGTGGCATGGTGGAGCATGGCGTGTTGTGGCGTCGTATGGCATGTCATGACATGGTAGTGCATGGCATGGCTACGCGTGGCATGGCATGTCATGGCATGGCATGGTGTGACATGGCATAGTGTCGCATTGCATGGCATGGCATGGCATGGCATGGCATGCATGGTGTGACATGGGATAGTGTCGCATTGCATTGCATGGCATGGCATGGCATGGCATGGCATGGCATGGTGTAGCATGGCACGACATGGCGTTCCATGGCAGGCATGGCAGGCATGGCAGGCATGCAAGGCGTTGCATGTCAGGACATGGCGTGACATGGCATGGCGTGACGCGGTGTGGCGTGCCATGACATGGCATTGCATGGCATGGCGTAACATGTCATGGCATGGATTGGCATGGCACGGTGTGACACGGAATAGAAGGGCATTGCATGAGGGCATGGGAGAGCATTAAGGTAGCGCAGGGTGCAGACGAGCTCACAGATAGTATAGTTTGGTGAGCGCACTCAGATCAGGTATGGTGTCTGAGAGATCAGCGCACTATGAAAAGAACAGCAACCTGCACGAGCTATGACAATGATGCAAGTGCCCATCGTCAAGTCACGATCGAGCTGGCTTCCACTCTGCAAGGCTGAACCGAATCTGTGTTGAGTCAAATATGTAGCTGCAGTAGGCACAACTCACAGATATTTGAGTTCTGTCATTTCGCTGATTTCACTCGGCAGCGTCCCTGTCAGTTGGTTGCCACTCAAGTTTCTGATCGCAGATGGGATGTGCAGGGAATGCACAGAGGATGCAACAGGGGAGACAATTGGAGAAAATGGGAGGGTCTTCTTTTGTAGGAGCAGGAAAAGAAAAGATGGCATGTGAAGTGAAAGAAGGTGTGGGAAGTAGTGTTTCTTTTAAGAGTGGCACGTAGTGTGGTTGAATATGGCATAGATGAAACCCA